ACATCAGTGTTGAACACTATATATAAGTCAGTTCCCTCAAACATCAGTGTTGAACACTATATATAAGTCAGTTTCCTCAAACATCAGTGTTGAACACTATATATAAGTCAGTTTCCTCAAACATCAGTGTTGAACACTATATAAGTCAGTTTCCTCAAACATCAGTGTTGAACACTATATAAGTCAGTTCCCTCAAACATCAGTGTTGAACACTTTATAAGTCAGTTTCCTCAAACATCAGTGTTGAACACTATATAAGTCAGTTCCCTCAAACATCAGTGTTGAACACTATATAAGTCAGTTCCCTCAAACATCAGTGTTGAACACTATATATAAGTCAGTTTCCTCAAACATCAGTGTTGAACACTATATAAGTCAGTTTCCTCAAACATCAGTGTTGAACACAATATAAGTCAGTTCCCTCAAACATCAGTGTTGAACACTATATAAGTCAGTTCCCTCAAACATCAGTGTTGAACACTATATAAGTCAGTTCCCTCAAACATCAGTGTTGAACACTATATAAGTCAGTTTCCTCAAACATCAGTGTTGAACACTATATAAGTCAGTTCCCTCAAACATCAGTGTTGAACACTACACTGTAAATTTCAGGGAGTAAAATTTGCCCCAAAATATGGGGTAACATGTTTTCCAATGAACGCCCCGATTTTTTCGGGCGATTTTTACCCCTCTAAAATGGGGTAATTTTTACACCACTCTTAAGGAGTAATTTTTACCCCATATAAAAATAGGTGTTATTTTTACACCACTTTCACGGGAGTAATTTTTACCCCATAGTTTTCTATGGGGTAAAAATTACTCCCGTGAGAGAGGTGTAAAAATTACGCCTATTTTTATAGGGGTAATTTTTGCACCTCTGTTACTAGACTTGCTCCAAGTCTCTCTTTGTGGAGACCCACTATATTGTACGTTACATGACGTACCGCTGAGGGGGAGAGGAGGAAAGAGAAGAGAGACTTGTAACATCTGGCAAGCAGACATACTTCCGGCTGGTCAATTTCGACCAGCCGGAAGTAGATGGCAGCATTGACTTATCACGTGTTTAGGGGGGGAAGGCGACATTTCAGAGTTATTTGTTTAGCACGAGTAATTTTGTATTCACGAGATTTCTTGTAGATTTCACATCACTTTTGACTGCGTGCATTTGGAATTTTGGGCATTATTTTTGCAATTTATTGTAAACAACGATTATAAGAAGAACGGATAAATTACAAATCAGCCGTATTAATCGTCATAAACCTCGATGACCACCAGGTTTTTGTGTTTGACAATTTATATTTCATTAGATATTTATATGCAAGGTCAGTATAAACGGGTTATCATATAAAACAATCATTCTAATGAATTGATAAAACGAATTATATCTAATATGTACGGCCGCGTTTTTTACACGGCCACTACTGAAGCGTTTAGCTTGATTGTTGAATAAATCGATGACTTGCTTAGTTGCTTTCTGTTTTGAGCTTAACCACCGTTTAAGCTGAACGGGCTTGATACAACTGGCCACAGACTCGGCCCCAGATAAACATTTTTGTATTATCGAGATCGAAACTATAGTAAATTGGAAACCGTGTCAATAATACAAAACGTACAATGAACTTATGAACATGCGGAAAATTGTCACGCCCAAAATTTATACAAATTTTGGGCGTGACAATTTTCCGCATGTTCATAAGTTCATTGTACGTTTTGTATTATTGACACGGTTTCCAATTTACTATAGTTTCGATCTCGATAATACAAAAATGTTTATCTGGGGCCGAGTCTGTGGCCAGTTGTATCAAGCCCGTTTAGCTTAAACGGTGGTTAAGCTCAAAACAGAAAGCAACTAAGCAAGTCGTCGATTTATTCAACAATCAAGCTAAACGCTTCAGTAGTGGCCGTGTAAAAAAACGCGGCCGTACATATTAGATATAATTCGTTTTATCAATTCATTAGAATGATCATTTTATATGATAACCCGTTTATACTGACCTTGCATATAAATATCTAATAAAATACAAATTGTCAAACACAAAAACCTGGTGGTCATCGAGGTTTATGACGATTACGGCTGATTTGTAATTTATCCGTTCTTCTTATAATCGTTGTTTACAATAAATTGCAAAAATAATGCCCAAAATTCCAAATGCACGCAGTCAAAAGTGATGTGAAATCTACAAGAAATCTCGTGAATACAAAATTACTTATGTTAAACAAATAAGTCCAGATGTCGCCTTCCCCCCCCTAAACACATGATAAGTCAATGCGGCCATCTACTTCCGGCTGGTCGAAATTGACCAGCCGGAAGTATGTCTGCTGCCAGATGTTACAAGTCTCTCTTCTCTTTCCTCCTCTCCCCCTCAGCGGTACGTCATGTAACGTACAATATAGTGGGTCCCCACAAAGAGAGACTTGGAGCAAGTCTAACCTAGCAAGAGTTAATTTTTGTTCGTTTAGCAACGAGAGAGCATTCAGTTTCTCTTAGGTCTTAGGTTGCTTACACGCAACGTTTGCCTAAATTCATCCTTTCAACGTACTTCCCTACGAGAATGTCCATGTAAGCAAAGCAAAACGAAAGTTATGTAGTCTATAAATCAGCCTTGTTAGGGAGTTTTGACTGTTGAATAAGTCGTAATTCATACTATATATTGTTTATTCTGGTTAAAGCCCCGGTTAAACCACAGGCGGCCCAATCTCGCAAGGGTCAGTATAGACTTATAGTATAAATGTATATTTATAGTAATGTATACTATAGTAAACTGTAAAAATATGTCATAAAATATAAATCCCTGTAAAAATATGTCATAAAATATAAATTCCTACTTGCCTATTTGATAGTATGTGTTCTCCTTTTATTCCTCCTTTGTTGGACTAATATTTTCCGAGACTTTGTACTCGATGTTACTAGTATACATGATAAAGGCTAACTATTCCCGATCGTTGATCCGACGGCACGGCACTTCGAATCGAAAATTCTCACACTCAAATCGCTTTATTCTCCAAATAAATTCGCCAGCATGTACAACGAATGCCGTTCTTCGAAAATACGGAGGTACTTTGGCGAGATGTACAAGTTTTGGACCATATTTTAACAATGGAAATCAAAACCCATTTTATATTGAACTTGCCCAGGCCGAAAATTACTACGGCGAACGCCTGCGCAACCAGGCCTCCTTTACCGTTGGGATTTACAGGGGGGAGCATGCCACTAATATATAAACGATCATATTTCGAATTAAATTCGTAATAAAACATATTCTACCATGCTTTCCAACAAAGAGCCGCTGTATACTTCTTCTTCCTTAAATTCCTACAATCTCCGTCGTTTAGTTTTCTTTTCTTCGACAACATCTCGAGTTTTATACAGTATCCGATCGAAGGAGTTTTTATTTTGAATATCAAATTTCAAATAATGTAAACAGTTGCTATCGCGGCCGCGATTGGCTGGCTGTTACCGGAAATATATGCTCCCCCCCTGTAAATCCAACGGTAAAGGAGGCCTGGTTGCGCAGACGTTCGCCGTAGTAATTTTCGGCCTGGGCAAGTTCAATATAAAATGGGTTTTGATTTCCATTGTTAAAATATGGTCCAAAACTTGTACATATCGCCGAAGTACCTCCATATTTTCGAAGAACGGCATTTGTTGTACATGCTGGCGAATTTTTTTGGAGAATAAAGCGATTTGAGTGTGAAAATTTTCGATTCGAAATGCCGTGCGGCCGTATCGACGATCGGGAATGGTTAGCGTTTATCATGTTTCATGTATACTAGTAACATCGAGTACAAGGTCTCGTAAAATATTAGTCCAACAAAGGAGGAATACAAGGAGAACACACACTATCAAATAGGCAAGTCAATTTCATTTTAAAATTTATATTTTATGACATATTTTTACTATAATATACAATTAATATAATATAAATTTATACTGTATAAAGTCTATACTGACCCTTGCGAGATTGGGCCGCCTGTGCATAGATATGGTGTATTGAGAGTCCATATTATTAAATTAAAGTGATTTTACATATCTGTTTCACAATCGAGGCAGCAATTTCCTTGCGACAGTAATTCATAGTATAAATACTTCTATCGATCCATTCGTTTTGCACAATTGCACTGTTGCTTTGTCTATTTAATAGATCTCCTTTACAGTTCAACCAAGGTTCTCAGAGCTAATTTGAAGACAATTTCAAATTTATTCAATATTTTTGGAAGAACTTTAACAGATTTTTTCATTTTAAAATAGATTTTTGTTCTTTATTTGTCGATTTCGGTGTTTATGCAATATTGACGAATATATTGTAGCTAAAGCGATCAGCGATCGCACCCCCCTGTATAGTATTTGCTCCGATATATCACGTGACAAAATAATCCACAATTTGTGGATTATTTCACCAGCCTTTACCAGGGCCTTAGCTGCCCTTCGCATCTTTCCTCAAAAGGCCCTGGGGACGAGGTTGCCCAGACCAGGGCTTCCTCGTGTCTCGCCTCGTCCTCACACTGAAGCCCTGGGAACGAGGTTGGGGGGGGGGAGAGGAATGTGGATATGTTTGTCTGAAGGTTTGAGACTGTGATAAAGCTATGTGATCGGCGATTATAATGAGCACGCAATTTTTATCGGCTATATGTAGCTCTTAAACACCGGAACGTTTATGTAACAGCAATAATTATACGTCCACGTAACTCGTAAGCAAAATAAGCGGCCCACTTTTGCATGCATGGCCACCAAAAACTAACTCGCTGTAACAGCGTATCCTGCATGTTGAGAATGAGTCGAAAATTGACACACTTTATTTATATAAAAGTAAAGTTTTGCAGTTTTCGTTCGTATATACTAGAAAATACATGCATGCAGAAACCCTCGCCTTGCTGACAAAACCGTTGTATTTTCCGAACAGGAAGTATCCAGAGTAGTTGTCATGGTAACACGATAATTTTTTAAGAATATTCTTACAAATGAAAATCGCCTAAAAATATCACTTTTAATTACAAAATTATCAATTTCCCAACATATATATATGTTAGGTATGTAATTATACGTAATACAAGCTTCAATTTAAGGTAAAATTCAACCACAAACAATTCACAAAACTCTGAGTGTATATCCACACCGCGCGAGCTTGAAAAATATGCCCGGCCACGGTGGGATTCGAACCTACGACCTTTGGAATACTAGCCCAATGCTCTTCCAACTGAGCTACGCGGTCAGGACGGTTCGAGTAAGTGATATTTCGGAACAGTATCTAGTTCCTTCAATACCAATGTGTTCTTGTAATATGAATTTTTTTTCTGTGTTGGTGTTGTGTACTCAGGGGAATAATATGTTTGCGATGTTACTCTGAGTGCATATCCACACCGGGCGAGCTTGAAAAATATGCCCAACCACGGTGGGATTCGAACCTACGACCCTTGGAATACCAGCCCAATGCTCTTCCAACTGAGCTACGCGGTCAGGACGGTTCGAGTAAGTGATATTTCGGAACAGTATCTAGTTCCTTCAATACCAATGTGTTCTAGTAATATGAATTTTTTTCTGTGTTGGTGTTGTGTACTCAGGTGAATAATATGTTTGTGATGTTACTCTGAGTGCATATCCACACCGGGCGAGCTTGAAAAAATATGCCCGGCCACGGTGGGATTCGAACCTACGACCTTTGGAATACTAGCCCAATGCTCTTCCAACTGAGCTACGCGGTCAGGACGGTTCGAGTAAGTGATATTTCGGAACAGAATCTAGTTCCTTCGATATAGATTAACAGACAACTTTACAAACACGCACAAGTATGCAGACGACTGCACTCTTGATGAGGTCGTTGCAAACGGAGCCCTTTCAAATATGCAGGAATCGACTAATCAAGTGATGAATTGGGCCAA